TTTCCAGATCATAACTTTGTCAAAGTGAAAGTTCCCAAGTTTATTAAGGACGAATCAGTTAACATGTGTGTTGAGGATATAAACCAAAAATCCTCCAAGAGAGAGTTCAACACAATCAAGATTATCAAGAAGAACACAGCAAAACAGAGACAGGGGGGAACAACAAAGAAAAGAAGAATGCACACGTTGTTTACTTGGTTTGGATTTAACTCAAGAATCCTACTCCAAGGCAGGGTTTGTAAGGCCCTAGTTCATCCACTATAATGAAGTCTGATACAATCACTAATCTGAGAATTACAATATTGAAATCCTAACTCTCACGTCTCTCTCTGTTTTTCGTTACTTACAGAAGGTACAGACCACCTTCTTTATACATGAGCCTAAGGGAAGATTTGACGGTTATCACAGCTGTGTGATCTTAGCGAGGTTAGTTAGCAAATAACTAACGTAACAAACGCTAGCCATGCAGCTGAATAACCGTCTCATCCTCTTAACAAAATGAGAGGCATTATCCAACAATGTGAATATAAATGAATAAAGTCTTTTACTTTTTCTTTTAGATCTCCCAATAATCCAAGAAGTCAAGTGATCTCACAGGAGGCTTTGGCCATAGCTTTGTATTCAACTTCTTTGTTTTCCAAGAAATCAATATTTCTCCAAGTTTTATACAGAACACAGTAAGTGATCTCCTTGTCATTGGACATGTGCCCCAATTTGAGTTGTAATAGGTTATGACATCTAAGTTTGCATTTTGTGATAAGAAAAGTCTCAATCCAGGGCATCCCTTTAAATACTTGATTACCTTCATTGCCGCATCCATATGAGATTGTTTTGGACCATCATGAACTGGCTGAGGATGTGGACTGTATAACTAATGTTTGGTCATGTCATAGTGAGATAGATAAGATGACCCATAAGTCTCTGATAATGTGATGCATCTTCCAATGGTGGATCCACTTCTGAGGATGATATTGCTCTGTCATATTCTTGGGTAGTGAGTTTGGAGTTCTACTCAACAGGAATAACACTTGGTTTACATGCCAACAAACCAAAATCAGACATAAGTTCCAGAACATATTTTGTTGGCTAAGAGATATTCCTTCTGGAGACCTTGCAATTTTAATTTCAAGGAAATATTTTGGTTCTCCTAAATTTTTGATACGGAAATGCTTATTGAGATGCTCTTTTAGGATCTTGATGGTTGTTTTGTCATTTCCTAGTGATCAGGATGTCATCTGCGTATATAATGAGAGAAATAAAAGAGTTACCTCTTCGTCTTGAGAAAGAAGCATAATCATGTTTAGATTGAGAAAATCCTAGACTTGTGAGAGTTTCAGTGAACTTCTCATTCCACTATAAGGATGCTTGCTTTAAACCGTGTATGGACTTTCAAAGACGACATACTTTATTCTCCCCCTATTGTTGAAGTTCCGGAGGAAGATCCATGTAAATCTCTTCGTGGAGGTCACCATAGAGAAATGCATTGTGAACGTCCATTTAATGCAAAGTCCAGTCACGAACAGATGCAATTGTCAAGAAAGTGCAGACAATGACATGTTTGGCCAGTAGGGAGAAAGTCACAACATAACCAAACCTTTCACGTTGAGTGAAGCCGTTTGCAACCAGTCGGGCTGTATATCTCTAAATGGAGCCATCAGAACAATGTTTGATCTTATATATCTATTTATAGCCAATAGGTTTTCTATAAGATGGATGTGGCACTAAGTCTCATGTATGATTTAGTGCTAGAGCAGAAAGTTCTTCAGCCATGGCTCGACACTAGTAAGTAGTAAGAAATAGCCTCAGAATAATAAGAAGGTTCCCTTTCTGTAGAAATATGACTAATACATACCCTGTGGGCTAGAGAAAATCTATCATAGCTGTCATAGTTAAATCTATCTTTTGTTCAACCAGAAGCCCTAGTTGCTTACCTTATAGCGGCAAGATATACCAAGAGGATTGTGAAGGAAAAAAAAAAAAAAAAAATCCATTGACTTGAAAGCCCAAAGCCTGACAAACATTAACCCAAAAAAAAATGCTGAAAATAAATAAAATTACAACATAAGGTATGAAATTGGTCATGTGAACATTAATTTTATCGTGACTGATTTTCAGGTTTATTCTGATTTGGAGAGATTGACATTAAGTGAAAAGGACATAATGCTTGCTTGACTACTAAACCAGTTTCCAGATCATAACTATGTCAAAGTGAAAGTTCCTGAGTTTATTAAGGACGAATCGGTTAACATTTCAAGTGAAATCCTTTAGAGATTTAATAATCATGAAAAACTCATACTGAAACTGAGTTTATATCAAGAGATTTCTTCACCTGGAGAGGACGATAGACATACTAGTATTCTCACATAGATAAAAAGTCTAGAAGTACTTGGTGTTGCAATTTGATTACTTTAGTGCCATCTTCAGCATCTTTTGAAAACCTAACCACTCTGGAAGTATGGCGTTGTGATGGATTAAGAAATTTAGCATCATTCACAGCGGCCAAAAGTCTAAAGCAATTGAAAAAAAAAAATTATAAAACAGTGTCAAATGATGACAGAAATATTAGCAAATGAGGGAGACGAAAAGAGAGATGAAATTGTTTTTGGCAAATTGAAGATTTAGAAAGTTCCTTATGCTTTTGCTTTGGACACTAAACCTTTAGATTTCCATCTTTGTATGAGTTAAAGGTGAGAAAATGCTCTCAGATGAAGACTTTCTCAAGAGGAGTCGTAAGCACACCAAGCTTAAGCATTGTATATTGGTATGATCCGGCAAGTAGTAATTATGACAATGACCTTAATAAAACTATACAAGAACTACACAAGTTTAGTGGTACGTATTAATTTACTTACAAATTTAGCTTCCTCTGGACTTTATTATTCCCCTTCACATCTTAGTTAATATAATATAAGGTTATGGATAGAATACTAGTTATCAACTCATGATCTTATCTATAGTTTTAATTTTAGTTAATTACAAGTCTGAGGGAGTCAATAAGTCTCATGTATAAAGTAACTACGATGTTATACAATTGATATTTGATAGGATGAAGAGCGTTGGGAGCTCAAAGAAATACTTTCTTTCCTCGATTTTCCTTTTAATTGATAAATTATAACCTTTTTTTTTTTTAAATAGTTAAAAGTAATATTCTCTATAGTTTTTGCTTTTACCCTGTCTGCAAACATGTAGGCAAAAATATAGCCGGTAAAAACAAATTTCATCATCTTTACAGTTAATCAAATTATTCAATAATGTAGCAATGAAAATATTTTCCTAATATCTTTACCAGACTTACTACACTATCTGTGCAGTTGTAATTTTAACATGTTTAGTGAAAAATTATCCACAAACTCTTTTAGCAGCAGAAATTTGCAACCTGTCCGAAGCACAATGAATTTGTTGATTAAAGCATTATACATTATACAATGAGAAGACAGTGATGTTGAAGTATCACGAATTGGAACTGTGAGTCTTAAATCTAAACATCTAACGGAGGAACAAAACAAAATCCACAAGAAGAATGTATGGGAATTCGAAGCAGATACGAATTAATATTTCTAGTACGATGCAATGAAATTTCACTACTGACTCTAAATAGTCTGTCTTCGTAGTGTAGCTTCATGCATATAAATTACCTTCTATTTTTACCAGTTTAAAATATTGTACAGCATCGATTTGACATTTTATGGCTACTGTCATTGTTCTAAAAATCGGACCGATCTCTAACCCGATCAAAGGGCCGGTTTCCGAATACAATAGATACATCTCTGAATAATTTTTCAGTTTTTATAAGTTTAAAAACCTATAAATACACCCCTAAAATTAACACGAGTCTCTCTATGCATGAAATAACCTATAACTTTTATTATTAATTATTTTTTCTCTCTCCCCATCATTTTCACCTTTCTTTTTTTTCTCTCTCCCCATCAATTTCTTCTTTCTCTTTTTTTTTTCTCTCCCTGTCACTTTCTTCTTTTTTCTATCCCTTTCCCCTCTCTCTAGTAATTTTTTTTCCCGTCCTTCTTCTTCCTTCCTCTTCTCAGTTTCTCTTCATCTCCTCTTCTCTTTCTTCTAATCTTCTTCCTTCCTCTATTCTTCTTCATCTCCTCTTCTCTTTCTTCTTCCTTTCCCTCCCCTTACTTCTTCTTCTTTACACAGTAGATTTTAAAGTAAGTGAAAAAGAATAGAAAATGAAAATGAAAGATGCAATTTGATTTTTAGAGATGAAAATGATATTGAAATAAAATAGAGAATGCTTACTGGCGTAATGAAATAGAGAATGAAACGATACTGCAAATCTGGTTTAAGAATTGGGGATCAGATTATCCCAAAATAGTGAACCGCTTTAAGATCTATACCAGTCAGACCAGTGGTTTTGTATTGTTCCACCGATCTATTACTGATCTAAAATGGGTTTTATGACTTTTCCAGTTTTCATGTTAACTCGAACCGTAGTTAAAGGCCAAGTCTCGATCGAACCGACTGGTCTGATCCGGATTTTAAAGTAGAGGGTACAGCTTGGTTAGACTAGTTTATCAAATGCAAACGATGAAATCAATCAATTAAATCATGACTTGTTCGGCTAGCACCAAAGAAACAACAGAAATTCGATCTAATTGCCCTCACAATTTCGTATAATTCCATGCATGTATAAACAACCTAACCATGCAAATACATTAAACCTAATTGAAAAACATATAATTCATATCATATACAAACAATCAAATATTTACGCCTGCTCAAATCATGAAATGTAGCTATGGAAACTTCGAGACCCCTTTATGGTAAAAGAATAAGAGGAGGATCTAACATGATCTCTTGAGTTTGAGTTCTCATGACTACTAATAGAGGTAACCATTAGAATTCTTACCCTATTGATAGTTCTAGAGTCTCCGGGGATTAATTAAGGTACACACAAACTGGTCCGGACACTTCCAGTCATTAAAAATAAAAAATAAAAAACTATATATATATAAAAGAAAAAACAAAAAACAAAACTTAGTTTCCTAATATCTATACCATCAATTCCTACTACTTCTGAACAGTTATTACAATACTAACATATTTACTCTAATTTTGAAATTTTGGTGGTTTTTCAAGTAGGAGTTTCGGCCACGTGAAGATTGAATGGTTTGATATCTCTACATCGCATGTAGCTCAAAAACTGTCCGGGCAACTCTTCCAAAAGTGCTTGAACAACAGAAATTTGTCCTCCTGTCAAAACACAATCAAGTTGTTACTTAAAGCATTATACATTATACAATGAGAATATGATTTTGGACCAAAAAGCTTTTGCTACAATATTCACGTTTGAAAAGCGTCTAATAAGTTCGTTTGTTAATGGAATATTAGTGTTAATATTGAAATCATTGCAGCAAGAAAGGTGAATATATTTGCACTCACTTTGAACTTCTCGCATTGGAACAAATTGTACAATGTCTCGCGTAGCTACCCGACCTGTAGAGCTTTCTAACCGATGACCCTTATCAGCATCAAGAATCTAAAAAATTGTAATGATTTAGACCATCTAAAAGTAAGGTAATAGAAGGTGCAATATGTTAATAAAGGAAAATTTCAGTAGGTTTGAATTTAGAAAAACAATGGTATACCTCCATTTGTGTAAAATCTGCACCTCCTACTCCAACAATAAGAATTGAAAGGGGAAGATCAGATGCTCTCACCAAAGCATCTTTGGTTTCTTGAAGATCTGTCACAACTCCATCCTAGAAAAGGTTACATATTGATTAATCACAAAGATGGAATTCTGAAAGAAGAAAAAGGTAACTGCGAGAAGTTATAATTCTATTTACCGTTATAATGAGCAAAACAAAATACTTGCTTCTGTCACCTGAGGTGGACTGACCAGCAATTTGTGCAGCCACGTTTATCACCTGACCAAATAGAGTGGGTCCTGCCAGAGAAACATTGTGGAGAGCATTCCTGTAAGCAGCCATGATGCCTTCAACTCCTTCAACCTGTTAGATAAGAAAATCAACTGTTATTGAAAATGGAGAAAGAAAAATTCAGATGTAAGTCACTTTGGACAGATCCACTCATGAGGTTTTCAAGGAATATAAGCCCATATGGAAGGGGGCGCAATAATAAGAGAATCCTGTAAAATAAGCAACACTAACTTGAACATAGATCCTCTTCATATTATTCTCAATAAAATGATCAATAATGTTCACTATACCTTAACCGTAGTGACAAAATTAAAGAATAGATAAAGCTGCTACGTAAAAATGAAGTAGATGTTGTTTATCTGAATTGATGAGCACTTCCTTTTCTCACTTCTGAGTAGATAAGCAAATCAAAGATGGAGACAGAGAATGAACAAACAAATGCACGAGGACCAGGTAAAGAAGTGACATCAGAAAAGTAATTTCTTTTTTCTCATTATTGACATTGACTTGATTGAAAAATTAAATAATAAGCAAAATTTTCTGTTTGGTAGAGAAAAACATGAAGGTATGCCAACCAAATCAACAACTTGAAAGAGATATCGTAGCAAAAAGCTAAAAACTCTAGCAACCTCTTACCTCAAAATCATTGGCACTTCCATTCAGGTTAAAACAATGTGATATAGTACCATCAACTGTTCTCCCTCCAAATCCCCAAGCAGGAAAGCGTCTGTCAGAATCATAAAATTGTATGACCTCCCCTACTTCCATTATAGCCTGCAAAAGATTTTGTTAAAAACCAATTAGCCAATTCACTAGCCAATGATGTCTTCTTTCCAATTTTTATACAAACTAAAAAATTTTGAAAAATGGCTTGCATTCAGTTTCAGCTAAATTTTGAATACTGGCTTAGTATGGTTGACAAATCTGCTGTGGTTTTACAAGGGGTTTGTCGGGAACAAATTCCATTCAAAATAAAGGCTGTGGAAGAGTGGGGATAATATGAATGAAAGGTGGAAGAAAAAAAAAACTCAACTTGGACAGTTGAAGTTGAAAAAGAATTTGAAGTCAGAGACATTTTTAAGGGGCAACCTTTATAACAATGATTATTTGGTAACTTACAAGCATACCTAAGGGTGTTTTACTAAGTGATACTGTAATCTCCTGAGTTCACACCATAATCTTACCTGCTGGTAAGAATTCAATCGGCCTGAAGGGTCAATGTAGTGCAAAGAGTCTGGATTTCGAGGATTTCCATTCGAAGCTGGATGATTATGTATTAAAAGCATAAACCAAGATAAGAACAAATCAGACCAAACTTAAAAGGTGTAAAAAAAAAGGTTCAAAACCAAATAAATTATATAACATACAGTCAATAGAATATAATATATGTTCTTACTAGAATGTCAAGGTTTATTTACCTGTAAAGTCAACTGCAACCATAAAATTTAGCTCAAAGCCACTAGAAATATAATCCAGAAAACTATATTGTTCTTTCTCAATAAACTTATCAATAAACAACTGACTTTTGAGAACCTACAAGGCAAAAGTGATGTCAAACAATAATATTATAATTTCTTAAACTATTCATTTGTATGAATAAACACCTTTTCATGACCGTGATGACCAGAGGGTATAACAAAATTTGCACCACTTCTTCCTAGGTGAAGTTTCTCCAGGTCACCCACTGATCTCTGAATTTTCCTGATGATGTAAACAGAAAACTCTTAACATAATCAAAACAGTTAAAATATATGATAGGTAAGTTAATGACACCAAGAATTCAACAATTACCCTATAAGAACATGATTTCCAGAACTATTGAAATCAAGACATTCAATAATTAATGGATTATCCTGCATTAAAGCGAAATGTTATAAGCCAAGACTTTTTCCCACATCAAGAAACCTTGTATTTCTAATATCCATTCAAGTAATATCGATATGAAGGTAAAAAGCTTACCTTGTTTCCAAATTGCTGCATGCTCAAAGTTACTGGCCTCCAAATGGGATTCAAGTCGTTGCTTATTACATCTGTCTTGCAGATCGGAACAGGATCTCCACTCTCAACAATTCTAGATATTCTTAAGAATGGATCCTATAGAAAGAAGAAGAATGACTAAATGACTCCATCAATCAATTAGCAAATTTCTAATAGTAACTGCTTCCGGAATACATACACTTTTGGAAAACATGTCCACATTTTCTAAATGGGAGCAGCGGAATGCTATTTCAACAGCACTCTTAGAAGCAACTGTTTCCTCAGCATGGACAGATAGTGTCCCCAAGTTTCTTGGTACTCCAGGTCTATATTTGTTATGGAGGTTTATGGTGAAAGTCTGACTTGGTTTCGTCACAATCTGCCATATAAAATAAGGTAAAAATGAAAGGAATTATATTTGTGTCAGATACATGATGACCAAGGATTTCTAACAGATGCAAAACTACAAACTTCCTACTTATTAGCATTATAGAAACAAAACCATTTCCTTTTATGCGCAACAAATGGTCACATTATATTCTAATCATTCAAACAGCATTACAAAAGTTAAAGTTAAAAGCAGTTAAATAGCTTTAGCAATTATTCTTTTTAGAAAATTATATGTTAGCAATAGAGATGGAAATGGATATATGCACATATTTTACCCATTCAACAGAATAATTTACATATAAATCCAGAGAAATGAAGAAAAAAAAAATCGATCATGAAACTTACGTCAGACAGGGCACAGCTGGCTTCTCCCAAGAAGTCCTGATCGTTCAACTTTAGCATCTACAAGGCAACACAACTTAAGAAAGTTTGAACTTTATACTTCACCTTCAACAATTATTTAATTAACAAGAAGTTAATGACTGTTTTAAATAATGTGCAACCACTACAGTAGAGGATCAAAAGGATCTTTAGGTAGGTCTCTATTGCTTCACTCTATGTTGTAACTTTCTCATTATAATGTATGTTACTTTTCCTGCAAGTTGAAAGATTTGTCTCTATGAGATAATGCAACTTTTCCAGCTTAACGTCAAAGAATCCATCTATATTGTTTAATTTTCTCTTTCATATGCATAAACTTCACATGAACATAAACTTCTGGAAGTGTTATTTACAATCTAAAAGATATGAATGACCATAAAAAATAGTGTGCCTAACTGTTTTGATCAAAATTATATGCAAGACATGCATGTATACCAGATAATTCAAAAGGTCGGATTATTAATTCCACTATATATGCATATGTGTGTGTGTGTTATTCCTCATATAATTTCTTCAGTAGGTCACATAAGAAAGTGTTCCATTTTAATTGTTTATGACAACAGTACCGGTAAATTAGCAAAACATACTCAACCATCAACTCAGAAAACAATTTTCATAATGATCTTAAGCAATTAAGTGCTTTCCCAATTATGGTTATGGGACACATGTATCAAACCTTGCAAAGCTGCTTGCACAAATCATTTAAAATTAACTTTGATGGAGCCATGAAGTTAATTTTGATAGATAATGGTCCACTTTTTAAGTTTCTTGCATTTATTAAGTGTTTGTTCAAAGTCTACATCACAATTAGCAAATTTACCAAAATCAATGGGACCCAGTGTTATTGCAATTCAATACAGATTGCATGTCCTAAAAATGAAATATCAGTCAGTTGCCTATGCAACTTTAACTTTCCCTCAGACTAGAACATTGCCTAAATTAAAAGTATATGATTTAAACCAGAACCAAAGATATAAATACAATGTTAAAGCAGAAATTCTGCTATACCTTCACTGGTACATTGTGATAATTGGTATCAACATCATAAATTCGAAAGCTGGAAAAAGGAAAACATGAGAGAGGTCAAAGCAAAACATGACTGATGAGATAAATGAAAGGTCTATTGAAAATTATAAACTAAGATCCTGTGAGAATCTTACACCAATGGCTGGACAATCTCAAATTGATAAGCAATTGAAATTTTTTCAATCCAAGCAGGGTTCAAATTGTTCATGATGACTTCTGTACGCCCAATCTCCTCCAGTGTCCCATCTCTTTTCTTTGCATAAACAACTGTCATGGGGTCACTCTATGACAAAGAAAAAGGTCTATAAGTATGTAAACACACTTCCACTACATGCCATAAAATTATAAGTATATGCTCCCATAAATTGAAGAATTGAAGTCTTCATAAACATGAAACACTAAATTTGAAAATCCTCACCAGAATAGAGTAGCTTGCACATTTTCTACTAAAGACTAGCAAGATAATACCACTAGAAACATGTCTACAAAAATCGTAATACTAATAAAACCCTTACCTGAGATGTGTTATTTCAGACTCACAGTTTAATAAATTATTTGTGGATAATGTTAAAAGAAATGGTATCAACCAGAAAGTATTCTACAGCTCCAAGCTTATACATGTGATACCAGAACTATGTGCAAACATAGATAATATGTCAGGCCCACATATGAATAAATAAACTATTGTCACCAAATGCACGATCAACATGAATACGTCATAATCAGACAGCAAGACGATGATAATATGAACATACCTTTGATGTTATGTCACGATCAAGTAACTTTGAAGCAGATAAAGATAACTGCATCGCGTAATAAAACTACATGAATAAATGATAAGAAATAAAAAATAAAAAAATGATTGCATGTACAAAGCATGCAAAGAGAAAGAAAAGGAATGTGATCCATGCACATAGATGTTCAAATAACCTACGTTGAATTTAAAATTATGTCCATCCCACCCTTTCCCACGATACGAAACGGGTTACCAGACTTGAAATATTCAATATATTATTCAGCTTCCAATAACAGGATGCAAAATTTTGATTCCCAGGTCAACTTTCACATCTGTTTTGTTAGTTATTGGCTTAGCTTTCTCTCCTGCCATATTCCAGACAGCTGAACCAAGGTAGTGCAGACAAGGTCCACATCAGCAAGAAAAGAATAATAAGCATCTGGTGGTCCAGGATGCAAGAGATTCTTATCCAAAAAATTATGAGGTCACTAAACTTCATAATATTTAGCTATTGATGCATTGTTCACAGATTAAAATGTCAAATAAAAATTTTTAACTTTAACCAGCTTCAACAAATCTATGAATCACCCAGGGTAGCAGTCCTTTTGGCAATCGTTTTAGAGGTGGTAAGTACAATTCTGTAGAAAAAGCATAAACATCATAATATAATAGTCAACCTTCAAAACAAATGGAAAAACCATGAGATATAGTTTTAGTGATGCTAAAGGTTGAATATCATAGTACTGAATGAGCACTGGACCCTTGAGTATTCATCAGAGTTGTGTGGTTGTCACTTAACCATGCATTCTAAAGCATTTTTATAATTATCATCTACTCAACACTAGGATTCTTAATCAATTACCCAACACTTCCCTAATTAAATTCCAACTCTGAGATGGAGAAGCAAATTATATCTAGCACACCACAAAAGCAATTCGTGATAAGTTAATTTTGTAGAAGTTGGTTATATTCTTGACTAAAAGACTCTGCCATTATTCATTCTCCAACAAATTTTCCAATCCAGAATTACCATCCAATATTGATTAGGAAATAAGCATTCAACCAATTTACTTTTTCACTTAAACAACTTAATATCTCAATGAATTTGGGAATCCTTGTTATCAAACAGAGGACCACTGGTTATAAAACCAAAAACTAGAAAAAATATCATAGATTAAAATTTGAAAGCAATATAAAGAAAGTAAACAAAAACAAATTAATTTAAAATTAAAAATAAAATAAAAAGAAAGATTGGCTTAAGTGTGACCCAAAATAAAAATAAAAATAATTCGGAAAAATACTTTCACAGCCTCCATAGTTATTATTATAATTACATGTACCTCAATTTGAGTAAAGAGGGCTTGGACGCCACGCGACCGGAAGAAGAAGTCAACCGCGTCATTGTGACCGTGATTGTTTTGGGCTGTGATGGGCGGCTGTGGGGCTCCACCAACGCCCTGTTTCCCCCCTGCCACATCACCACTTAAACCAGAACAACACATTCCCATCTCTCTCTGAAAGACTCTAAACTTTCTCTCCTAATCCCTCTCTTTCTTTAAAAAAAAAAACCCAATCAATCTCTAATAAATCAGTTTATTTTGAGAGCGTACGGGGTTTCCCAGTTACTGTTCTATTGCTGATGATATTTGGACGAACAACTTAAGCGTATTTCTCCCCATTTATAGAATTAAGTCGCGTATTTTTATTCACCCAGAAAATTACACAGAAAGTGTAGTGCACGAATCCCTCCTTCCCATTGCTTGACGAGTCTCCTTTCCTCTCCTCTATCTGTATTTTATTGAAAATTTCAACAAAAGGAATTTCTTTTTTTTTTTACCTAAACAGGAAAACCGAAGCTACCAGACAAATTTCCAATTTGGGATTAATTTACTACTTTCTAGTCCGTTTCTGAGCAAGAATCTCCAAGCCTCGAATATTGAACCCTCCGTTTATACTTTATAGTTTACATAAAAGGGGTTTCCTCCCTAATGAAATAAATTTGTCTGGTAGCTTAACAATATTCCTCGGTTGGAAGAGATAAAATTTAGGAACATTAATAGATTGACCAAATATTTGGATATTTTTACGTAATTGACCATCTTGCCATACCTTGTAAGTTGTGCCTTCTCTTACTTTAGTCAAACATCTTTATCCTAATCCTTGCAAGGAGCGGGTCTATTTTTCGTTTTAGGAAGTTCTAGACCACCTCAGCTTATATTGATACAGAAATTACACTTAACCCCCTACGGATTCCATCAACTTTCTATAAACATCAACAACAAATTCCATTAAATTAATGATATTTATCTCATTCCTTCATCCGTTGTAAGCTATAAAGTATTAATCTTTTTCACATATGAAATAGTTTAAGCATGACTTAGAGCATCTCTATTTGTGCTCTTTATTTTGAAGAGTATCTTTTATATAAATAAAAGTATCTTTATTAATTTTTAAATATAAAGAACACAATTTTTATTCAAATCAAATAGACTCTTTAAATTTGATAAAGATGTTCTTTATTTTTAAGAAAGAGGCTTAATAGGAGAGAGAATTAATAAATAAAATACATAAGAACTTATAGTTTATTAATTAAAATTAAAATAGAGAGTGAAATTTGACTCTCTAAATATGGAGAGTCAAATTCACTCTTTAATTTATATTTTAAAGATAAAGAGTCTGTTGGACTCTTATTTTTATGTATAGACTTTTTATAATAAAGAGTTTAAGTCATATAAAGAGTCCATTGGAGATGCTCTTATATATTAAATTGTAATTCAGTCTTAAATAGCTTTTTACTGTTGTTGGATGTTACGTGTTTACATTTGGTACCAATTTAAGGTTTTAAAGCTTGTGTTTTCACAGTTGTATTGCCCAATTTTGCGATCATTCATGTAAGCTAAGGGATTTGGGGATGGAGGTAAGATGACAATGCTTGAATATGATATTCAGGCTCTATTGAGCTTTGTTAGACATTATCTAGCTTTCATTAAAGCGTCTAAATTTGGAAATTCGAGCGATGTTGTATTGAGGTTGAAGACGATTGTGCACAAGTCCCGATATTTAAGCAATGTCAGACATTGTTTAATGCGTTGTGTTTAAGGTTATATATTGTTTTGCAGTCAAAATCTCTAGCTCGAGACTAGTTAAGAAAGCCTAGAATACTCTTCTGTCTGAAATAGATACTGGACTAGGGACACAGACGAACCAAGGGAAGCGCGAACGATCAACAAACGTATGTGAGCACAACATTTGGTGGGTAGGAAAAGGAGCGCACCATGTTAAAATATTTTTTCACTTGGCTAGATTACCTTATCACATATAGGTTGCAATCTACGACACACAACCAAGCAAACTCCACGTGCCTTTCATGCAGCTAAGCTAAGAAGAAACCTGTAAAGGCACCAACTATCAGAGGGAACACCATCACACTCTACAACATAGGAGCATGTGAGTCTCCAGCCCCCGTGTGGCATATGACAACCCAGTTGACGCACCTATTATCATGACACTCCTAGGTCTCCGTATAAATAGAGACTACAGCCAAAGAAGAAGGGGGATCTTTTTTTTCCTGACACAAGCTCGGGCTCCAACTCCGACAAGGGAGTAAGAGAAAAACTTCTCCTCTCTAGTAGGAAAAAATTCACTCTTTGTAANTCCGTTTCTGAGCAAGAATCTCCAAGCCTCGAATATTGAACCCTCCGTTTATACTTTATAGTTTACATAAAAAGGGTTTCCTCCCTAATGAAATAAAATTTGTCTAGTAGCTTAACAAATATTCCTCGGTTGAAAGAGATAAAATTTAGGATCATTAGATTGAACAAATATTTGGAGATTTTTACGTCATTGACCATCTTGCCATACCTTGTAAGTTGTGCCTTCTATTAATACTTTAGTCAAACATCTTTATCCTAATCCTTGCAAGGAGCGGGTCTATTTTTCGTTTTACGAAGTTCTAGACCACCTCAACGTATATTGATACGGAAATTACACTTAAGCCCCTACGGATTCCATCAACTTTCTATAAACATCGACAACAAATTCCATTAAATTAATGATATTTATCTCATTCTTTCATCCGTTGTAAGCTATAAAGTCTATTCTTTTTCACATATGAAATAGTTTAAGGATGACTGGGAGTATCTCTAATTATACTCTTCCTTTTGAAGAGTATTATTTTATATAAATAAAGTATATTTTTATTAATTTTTAAATATAAAGAATATAATTTTTATTTAAATATAATAGGTTCTTTAAATTTAATAAAGATATTCTTTATCTTTAAAAAAGAGACTTAATGAGAGAGAGAGTTAATAAATAAAATACATAGGAACTTGTAGTTTATTAATTAAAATTAAGATAAAGAGTGAAATTTGACTCTCTAAATGTGGAGAGTCAAATTCACTCTCTAATTTATATTTTAAAGATAAAGACTTTAGTAGATTCTTATTTTTATGTATAGACTCTTTATAATAAAAAGTTTGAGTTATATAAAAAGTCCATTTGAAGATGCTCTTACATGTTAAATTGTAATTAAGCTTTAAATAGCTTTTAACTGTTGTTGGATGTTACGTGTTTAAGGGTTCAAAGCTTGTGTTTTCACATTTGTATTGCGCAATTTTGCGATCATTCATGTAAGTTGAGGGATTTGGGGTTGGAGGTTGAAGATGACAATGCTTGAATATGATATTCAGGCTCTATTGAGCTTTGTTAGACTTTATCTAGCTTTCATTAAAGCGTCTAAATTTGGATATTCAAGCGATGTTGTATTGAGGTTGAAGACGATTGTGCACAAGTCCCGATATTTAAGCAATGTCAGACATTGTTTAATGCGTTATGTTTAAGGTTATATATTGTTGTGCAGAAAAAATCTCTAGCTCAAGACGAGTTAAGAAAGCCTAGAATACGCTTCTGTTTGAAATAGATATCGGACTAGGGACACAGACGAACCAAGGGAAGTGCGAACAATCAACAAACGTATGCGAGCACAACATTTGGTCGGGTAGGAAAAGGGGCCCACCATGTTAAAATATTTTTTTCACTGGGCTAGATTACCTTATCACATATAGGTTGCGATCTACAACACACAACCAAGCAAACTCCAGGTGCCTTTCATGCAGCTAAGCTAAGAGGAAACCTGTAAAGGCACCTACTATCAGAGGGAACACCATCACACTCTACAACATAGGAGCATGTGAGTCTCCAGCCCCCGTGTGGCATATGACAACCCAGTTGACGCACCTATTATCATGACACTCCTAGGTCTCCGTATAAATAGAGACTACAGCCAAAGAAGAAGGGGGATCTTTTTTTTCCTGACACAAGCTCGGGCTCCAACTCCGACAAGGGAGTAAGAGAAAAACTTCTCCTCTCTAGTAGGAAAAAATTCACTCTTTGTAACCCAAATCATATGTACACTCAAATAAAATATCAATGGATGTAGGCATTGCTCATTCTCCGGACAAACCACTTTAAAAGTGCTCAGTTCTCATATCGTTTTCAGGGAGGCACACCGTCTTCTTAATTGTCGTCATGCATAAATTAGTTCACTTTTGTTGATTATTCAGAATCATGCACCCATCTTATTCGATTCCTCTCGAGGTCAACCAAGTACCTCTAGTTAGTGTAGAATTTCGCATCGACACTCTAGTCAATACGAAATCTCACATCAACATATATTAAGAACAATTATGTCCAAAAAATTAGAAGAGGGCTATAGAGTGCAAGACTTTTAAAAAGACGCTATTTGTCAATTCAAGTAGAAAATAGGGGCTATTTAATATAATTTAAAAGAAAATACAATCTTTTTAATTTTTGTTTTGTTAATTTATAAAAAATAATTTAAAAGAAAATACAATCTTTTTAATTTTTGTTTTGTTAATTTATAAAAAAATTAACAAAACAAAAGTTAAAAAAAAAAAAAATATCCTAACATTCTCCCCCTCTGTAGCAATAGCAACTCCCTACTTTTTACCAAGCTCACATCACATTAAACAAATTGCAGGAAAATAAAAAAATTAACTCCTCCTATTTAAGTGGCTGCAATGTTAAATTTTGTTAAATCTTTATGAGAAATAACTAAAAGAAAAAACATATTTAATTAATAATTATTTAGGAGTAAGTGTGATTAACCCATCAAATAATAAAAAGGAGGAAAAGTGAACCTATCAAATATTATTGGAACAACCTTATCATTTTATATTATTAATCCACACGAAATTCACATAGTAGTTGCTTGTTATTTAATTAAAAGAACATATACTTTCTTGTAGAATTAATAATAAATTAATTAAGTCAATGATATAAAGTTTTAAACAAATTACGTAGAAAATGACATTCCTTAATTTCTCTATTTTACTCCACACGACAACACGGTGTTCTTGTCTCATAAAAAAACCATTGGATTATATATAGGGATGACTTGAAGAACAACAAAAGTTGTGGTAACTAGGGAAAAATCAAAATAAACAAAAGAACCTTTCAGATGTAAATTAAGTTGTCACCATGCCCAATAGCCCGTTGTCTGCTCTAAATCTTAATTTTTCTCATTTTACTCGGAGAGACAGAAAAAAGCTTTTGATTCACGAGCATTTTTGGTTAGTCAAGGAGACGTGTGTATGTCATATGCTTTAAAATGATGACGGATTATAAGTCTATATAAATTAATGTTATAGATGAATCTTGTCTTCTTTCTTTATTATTCTGATTTGTGTGTGAATCTTGGGTTGGTAAAAAGGTCATTCTCCCAATAGTAAACCTTAATGTTTAAGA